TTTTCTGCTGTTTGTGGTGTTCAGGACTGGACGTGAGGTGCGAGGCGTGTCAGAGGTTTTTCCGCGATGGCCTGACGATCTCGTTCACCAAAATCCTGACGGATGAGGCCGTGAGCGGCTGGAAGTTTGAGATCCACGTGAGTCTGGGTCTGTCTGTGATCGTACGGTGCAGACGTCTCCCTGATGCTGATCTGTTGCTCTCGTCCCGTTGCAGAGGTGCATCATCAGTAACACCCAGCGTCTGGTGGAGCTCTGCGTGGTCAAGCTGGCTCAGGATTGGTTCCCTCTGCTGGAACTGCTGGCCATGGCCACCAACCCGCACTGCAAGTTCCACATTTACAACGGCACGCGTCCGTCCGAGAGCGTTCCTGCGGGAGCGCAGCTCGCCGACGATGAGCTGTTCGCCCGGCCGCCCGACCCACGCTCTCCTAAGGTACAGAACTGCTTCTGCGCCCGCATTCACAAAACATTTTATCTTACCTCGGAGTTCTCCTAAATAGCAGTAACAGTTTTTAGCTAAGAGTTTTCTCAACAAAGCTGCCGAGACTAACTTTTACTAAGCAATAGAGAGAAGTCTTAAGCTCAGAGTAAGGGGGCGGGGCTGACCTCGTTGCTATGGATGATGTCATCATGCTTATTAACTATGCACACAGTGATTGGCTGATAGTCTCTGTCAGAGATTTATACATAGAGCTGGTTAATGAAAACGAGTTGGGATAACCTTCAAAACCAAAGGCGATACCTTTTTAAAAGATCATTATCGTCAAATATTTCTAAAATGTTTACGTTCAGAGGCAGATTTCCAGCAACAGCTATTTTAGGATAGTTTGTGGCTTGGTCTTAGAAGTCTTCTTCACTGCTCCTAACCTTTCACAGATTTAGGAGCTAGTTTTAGAGCTAAAACGCTTTGTGAAATACTCTTGGAGCAAACATTTAGGAGTCCTAAATTTAGGATTGACACGCCCATTATTTTTAAGATTTTCTCCTAAATCGGCGAGTTATGAGCTACTTTTAGCCTGAAGATGTTTTGTGAATACGGGCCCTGATCTCCCAATCACAGCTGGGTGTGACGCTTTTAGTGCAGTTATCAAACACAGAGCAGTTATTGAGTACCAGTCTCTCTCTTACTGATCAGTCACTGGTTAAAAAATGTATATTCAACAATCACAGGCAGTCCTGTTCAGACAGAATGATGCACAGCTCAGCTGAAGAGCAGGAGGTCATTAGCATTGAAGCGGTGTTAGGAAACACGCGGATGTATTTCCTAACACGGATGTATATCAAACACATGTCTGTGAAACGCATATGAACCTCCACTTAAGAGCGTAGTTACTGGTGTAATTACATGTGGCAGTGTCTAATTAAAGAGGGTAATATTTAAAGGGGTCATGAATTGAGAAACCAAAATTCCCTTGATCTTTTGGCATATAAGAGGTCATTGTGCTATAAAAACATCCTGTATGTTTCAGAATTCAAACAATTCGATGCGGGATTTTCAGAAAGATTGAAACTAAAAGATGATGCTGTGTGACTATATTGAATCCGACTAATGTCACAACACAAGTGTGAGTAACTGTTTTCATTACGTGATCGCTATTGCTTTGTCTGTTGAACATATGCGGGTTCCAGATTCTTCACGATCGCTTCACGAGCGGCCAGGCTCTCAACGTGCAGATCATCGCAGCTCTCATCAAGTACGTCCATCTGCAGTCCAAGCCTGTTACGCTTCTGCGTTGGAGCTGCTGTGAGCTCTCCAGAGTCTCATCGTTTCTCCATTATTTTCCAGACCTTTCGGCCAGTGCTACGAGTTCTTGACTTTGCACACGGTGAAGAAGTTTTTCTTACCCGTAATCGAGATGGTCCCACAGTTTCTGGAGAACCTCACAGACGAGGAGCTGAAGAAGGAGGCCAAGAACGAGGCCAAGAATGATGCTCTGTCCATGATCATAAAGTCCTTGAAGAACCTGGCCTCCAGAGTTCCAGGTCAAGAGGAAACCGTCAAGAACCTGGAAATCTTCAGGTTAAAAATGATCCTTCGGTAAGCCGTGGTTTCTGGTTCACTCTCTGGTTTATAAGCTTGTGATGCTGATCTGACGTCGTGACTAGTCTAATCTGCTCCCGTCTGTTTTACAGGTTGTTGCAGATTTCTTCATTTAATGGGAAAATGAATGCGTTGAATGAAGTGAACAAGGTGATCTCGAGGTGTGAGTGAGTGAGTGTGTGTGTGTCAGTGTGTGCGAGTGTGTGTGTCAGTGTGTGCGAGTGCGCGTGCTTGTGTGTGTTTCTGTGAGTGTGTGTGAGTGAGTGAGCGTGTGTGTGTGCGTGTGTGTCTGTGTGAGTGTGTCTGTGTGAGTGTGTCTGTGAGTGCGTGTGTGTGTGTGAGTGTGTGTGAGTGTGCGATCATCACTGCAGCCACACGACTAACCTAACTAGTTACGGTTATACCAGTTAACCGGCCCATGATCCCAGTGACATCAGTCTGAATGAAGCCAGCCGTTCAGTATTTCTCTACATGTCTTCCTGTAGACTTTTCTCTCATTGACGTGTACTCCCTCACACAGATGGTAATGCAGTTGCTAGCTGGCTAAACTGTTGTTACTGCTGGGAAAACTTTTCCTGGTGACAACATTTTCCCGCATGATTCCCTGACGGAAAAGTGTCTTAGTGCCAGACCAGAAAGGAATCAGAAAACCAGTTTTTCTGTGTTTCAGGAATGGACTCCAGCACCAGTCACCTTTATTTCTATAGCGCTTTATAGTCAAAGCAGCTCTATAGTGTTAAACAGGAAAATAGTGTTTCAATAATGCAAACAAAATTCATTTCTGCTGTAAAGCAGCTCTAAAAACAGTAAATTTTCAGTTAAAGTCAATTTATTGTTGATTCAGTTCAGTTTAATAACTTTGTAAATTGTTTAATTAATCTATAAAGCAGCACTGGAGAAAACCGTGATGTCATCATCAGCTCAGTTCAGTTCCAATACTGTCTTTGATATTAAGTCGATTATATTGCCAAATATTAAGTGTCCAGAAAGAAGCACATGCGTAAAGTTTTAATTTGGATTGCTTTCAGTCTGAAGTCTGTTGTAGACTAGGTAAGGTTTATCATTACTGTGTCATGTTTTCTCAGGCTGGTAAACACGAAGCGATCGTCAAGAACGTCCACGATCTTTTGGCCAAGCTAGCGTGGGATTTTTCCCCGGAGCAGCTCGATCACCTGTTCGACTGCTTCAAGGTGAGCGGCCGCCGTCACACTCATCATGTAATACAGGGTGCTTTTGTTGTGAGGATGCTGTGATAAATCAGTGCGTTCTGATGCAGGCCAGTTGGACGAACGCTGGTAAGAAGCAGCGGGAGAAGCTTCTGGAGTTGATCCGCAGGCTGGCGGAGGACGATAAGGACGGAGTGATGGCTCACAAAGTGCTCAACCTGCTGTGGAACCTGGCACACAGTGATGACGTCCCCGTCGACATCATGGACCAGGCTTTGAGCGCCCACATCAAGATCCTGGACTACAGCTGCTCGCAGGTCTGACCTTGAGTTTCAGTGCATCTCTTCCCATCATGCACCTGTGTGCCGTCTAGGGGTGTTGAAATCAATCGTGTCTACGATGCATCGCAATGCAGTAATGGACCGTAATTGATTATAGCCTTCTGACGTCATTCACATACGCGCTTGTCACGCGAGTATTAAAAAATGCACCCACTATTTTAAAATCCATACAGTGTTTGCTTGCACTCGCCGTTATTTCAGTGTTTTACTGTAGATATGCTTTCATTTCTGTGGTTTGGAGTGCAGTACGTATTAGATGCACAAACCCACGTACTGACAGACTTTCACTGCGCTGTGTGTGTGTTTGTCCTGAAGCTCGATCGCGGCTGGGTTAAACACACTTGCGTCTCTGAATACTTTTATGATAGGAACTTGATGTAAACACAGTGAGTTATGTTTTCAGAACAGCACAAAACATCTGATATGTGGAAGCAGATCTGTGCATTAGTGTGAATGCAGTCTATTAAAGCTGCCACTGTCTGTGATCTCATCAGTAATAATCAAACAGCAATAATGCTGAGGGAAAAAGAAAAACCCAGAACTATTGATTGTCTGTAAACTTTCGGATACTTAGAACACTCTCAGATACTGAAAGCACTTTTTGTTAATCACTTGTAATTGTCTTTTCCCCCTTTATTACTTTATATTGGCTTGTATGTTTTGAAGCTATATTTAGTTGGTTAAATTCTTAACAATTGTTTTGATTTATTATTCATTTGTAATTATTTTAAAGAGTAGCCTGCTTATGTAATTTAATGAAATTGCACAAAATAAATTTGATATGAAAAATGTAGCCATGTGCTGTAATACTGAATATTGAGGATGAGACTCATCATGATGCATCGTGATATCGAATCGAATCGTTGACATGATAATATAGTTTTATTTGTAGATATAATATGTGAAAGCAGACACAGGAACAGTTTCTTCCCTCAGGCAGTCCATCTTAGGAACACTTCACAATAATTGTGGAACACACAACACTATTTATACACTTATTCATCTAACACACATACTTAGTTTACATTTCGAATTTGCATATAATATACCTGTACATACAATTGTCAACTTGTATATTGTTATTCCCCATTTACTTGTTCTATTTTTATTCTTTTATTATCTGTGTTTTGTCCTGTCACTGTCACTCTGTTGCACTGTGGAAGCTTCTGTCACGAAAACAAATTCCTCGTATGTGTGAACAGACCTGGCAATAAAGCTCATTCTGATTCTCAAACAAAACATATATGTGACCCTGGACCACAAAACCTCATAATGGTCAATTATGTATGCATCTGAAAGCTGAATAAGTAAGCTTTCCATTGATGTATGGTTTGTTAGGATCGGACAATATTTAGCTGAGATACAACTATTTGAAAATCTGGAATCTGAGGGTGCAAAAAAATCTAAATATTGAGAAAATCATCTTTAAAGTTGTTCAAATGAAGTTCTTAGCAATGCATGTTACTAATCAAAAATTAAGTTTTGATATATTTATGGTAGGACATTTACAAAATATCTTCATGGAACATGATCTTTACTTAATATCCTAATGATTTTTGGCATAAAAGAAAAATGTATAATTTTGACCCATACAATGTATTGTTGGCTATTGCTACAAATATACCTGTGCTGCTTATGACTGCTTTTGTGCTCCAGCGTCAGATATAAGATATATCTTTTAATGTGGTAAAATATATATATTTTAATGATAAGTGATGGGGCGTGGCTTGTGGGCGTGGTCAGATTTTCCTTCTTTTTTGTCTCTAGCTGATCACATGCTTGATAAATGAACTATAGTGTCCTGCACCCACTAGTAAATAAATATCAAATTATGTCTGGCGTCTGAATGATTTTTGATTTGACTGTATATCAGTGTTTATCACGGAGTTGAATGCAGAATATTAAGGAGAGTTATGTTAAGAATGTTAAGGAGTTTGTAACCCGTGTTCAGGTTTCTGCTGAAGGATGGGCAGCTGTGGCTTTGCGCTCCGCAGGCCAAGCAGATCTGGAAGTGTCTGGCGGAGAACGCCGTGTTTCTGTGCGACCGCGAGGCCTGCTTTAAGTGGTACTCCAAGCTCATGGGTGACGAGCCGGATCTGGACCCCGACATCAACAAGGACTTTTTTGAGAACAACGTGCTGCAGCTGGACCCAACGCTGCTCACGGAGAACGGCATGAAGTGCTTCGAGCGCTTCTTCAAAGCTGTGAACTGCAGAGAGGGCAAGCTGGTGGCCAAACGCAAGGCGTACATGATGGACGACCTGGAGCTGATCGGGCTCGACTACCTCTGGAGGGTAACACCTGGCGATCATGCACTCGTATCACTGTTATCACTGGTGTATAGGGCTGGGGATCGCTGGAATTTGATCAATTCCAATTCTGATTCCTCTTATCGATTCCCAGTTTTGATTCCAATGTGGTAAAAAAAAAAATGGAAGTCAAACGTTTAGATATCAAACCTATTTATTCTGTTTCTTTTTCGCAAAATATTTAATTGCTGCTGAATACCATGAACAAAAATCAGCCGGCTGCATAAAAACTGGACTCGATTAAGAGCTGTTTGTGTGCAAAATAGAGCCGCACGATTCTGGATAAATTGAGACTTTTTTTTTT